ACGAACATAGTCAATACTGCTTTGCTTCTTCTGTTTCTCTGTTATGTATGAAAAACTCCAAAAGAAATTAAATACGTTTTTATGTTTTTAGGCGGTTTTTTTCCAATTTCTTGAAAGAAGTCGAATTTTCTTTTTTGAAAAAGAAAAGAATGTCGTAAAATTTCTTATTTCTTATTCTTTACAATAAATCTCAGTTTTCATTTTTGGACAACTGTAACAGGTTTGGAGAAATTAGAAGCGCTCATTGTTAACATTACTTAGCAATAAAAAATGACTTCTAGGCTACAAGCAATTAAAAAGTATGAAATACAAACTGCATATCAGTTTTCTAAGATCTATAGTATTTTCTCAATTTTGTTGCAGGATAAAAGCATCGTCAAACGAAGAGATAAGTACATGGCTAGCGAACGATTTGTCGGATTATCAAATATTACCTGGTATATCTTTTTGTGACTAGTTGTTGCTGAGATTACGTTTGATGTGTCAATGACTGATGAACATTTATTTAGATACTCAATTATTGACAAAATATGCAACTGCCAGTGTTCTAAATAACAAACATACCATTATTTCACCCATATGTACTTGTCAACGTTTTTTTCACATATTTTGTACTGATATGATTCCATTCGAGGCAGTTAATATTAATATTCATCCGACATCATCCGATAAACGACATGATGACACTATTCGGGAGCCATATCATTCCTGTCCGAATACAAATCAATTAGTAACAACTAATCCAGAACATCAGCAGCTTAGCAAAGGGAAGTTGGACGCTATGACAGCAAGTCAGGTGTTCGAAGGAACAGTATGTATGCAGTTGTTTACTATTAACCTTTATTGAATTAATCATTCTTTTATTAGCTCAGAGCCAAATGTCACCCTACGAAACAAGTCAGTTCCAAAGATTCTGTGAATAGTTTTCCGTTACACATAAGATCGCTATCTCGAACAGCTAAATCCGATACGAATCGTTCATCAAAATCAAACCGTATTCCTTGTTCTCAGCCCATCAATGATTTTCCTCAGATGCGAGGAAAAGCCTTAATGATTGGTGATAATATTCCAATGGTTCCATCCTGTTCTTCAAAAACTCTTTCAACTGATATTTCTAAACCACAACTACTGAACAATGCTTCAAATATTCTGATAAATGGTGAACAGCTATGCAGGATAGCTACACCATTAGCAGCAAGAAATAAAAGTCCAGCTTTGCTTTGCGATCCATTAGCATTGTCAAATCCGACGACTTGTTTAGCATTGAAAAAATCCGAATCATTTTCTTATTCGAATCTTGCACGAGAATATTTATCATCCTCAGACACCTCGGATGATGAAGATGCGATTTTAAAAAGTCGATCCTTTACATTACATAAAACTCGCGTAGAAAGTAAATTACAATCCAAACAACCCCTTGAGGCACTAACCCTTACTCCGTTAAACGAGCATACTGTGAGAACATTAAAAGATCGTATATTTTCACAAAATCCAAATCGTTCGATTAGTTT